GAGTTGGTAGTTAAATATAAACTGACCCACCTAAAGAAGTAGAAATGTGAACTAATTCCACCGGAAATGCATTTGGGGACCTGCTCTCACCAGGCTTCATAATGCAGTGCATGCTAATAACAAAATTCACTGGTGTTTATTTTTCCTTGATCAAAAATTCTAAAAGGCAGAAAAAGGCACATGACTGAAAATGATGTGTAAACAGTGGAGATCAGTTTCAAAAAGAGTTTAAATTAGGACAGTTTGCATATTAGAAGCCAGCATAAGGAAAATTTAGGTAGCAACTAATGAAAAGCCGGCTGATTCGCATTAGAAGAAGTTCTAGAAATAGTCATGTTAATGGCTACCGAAATTAGGGGAATATATGCCCAAAGTTCCTACCATACAAGATGTTGGAAGTGCAACGGTTCTGAAAGTTTCTACAGTTTTAAAAAAATCCAGAGAAAAACACTAAACAACAATGCTATCGTTTTGTCATTTTAACAAGACAGAGAAGCAGTCCTTTAGTAGTGATTTGTACATGCCTGCAAAAGAACAAATATAGACTTCCTTTCTTGATTCCTCAAAGAATCTACATACAATTGTTACATCAAAACAGTGTCTTTTCCACGGTAAACCTTTCTCTGTAAAAAGGACGTGCCTTTTTTTTCTGCCCCTGCCAGCATCTTCTAAACTTTTATGATGAAAGAAAGCAACCAAAACATTGGTTAAGTTCACCTTTCGGAACACCTTTGGCTCTAGAAAAACTGCTTCTAGAAAGAGGCATCGCTTTTTGACAGACGCCAGAACCAGCCAGTCCATTCAGCTTGTGCTGCAACCTGGAGAAACAGGTCTCCTCTGAGTTCCAATATAAAAGGTGTCCCCAAAGCAACACGTCCTACCATATGGAACAAATTGCTAAGATTAGGCATGTATCTGGTTGCACCAGGAGTTTACTGGATGTCTACCTTAAATGTATCTCCGAGCATTGTTACCAAGCTGAGCTGGAAGTGGGCTTCTTCTGGAAAGACTTCATTCTTAATGTCTGCAGTATGAAGAGGGTATTCTGGGAATCTGCAAGGGAAGAAAGAGAAAGTCAGTAAAGGCAGCCCTGACCATCTTGGCAACTGGAGCAGACAGCCAATCCAAAGAGCCATGTCCACCCCCTGGGACATCATCCACCAAGATGTTCTCCTGACCAAGCTCTATCAAATTTAATGGGAACTTCCTGAAAATTACTGTCCAGTCCTCCAAGCTCCATTAGGGATTCTGCCCCATCACTTTTTTCTGTTTTGGGTTCAGCTATCCTTATTTTATCAGTCAGAGGAAGCCAATGTTGAAATCAGCCTTGACCCCAAGAACTCTGGCAAAGCTCTACCTGGGGCTCATTCCTTTCTAGGTGCCACATCCAGAGGGCTCCAAAAACTCTAAGGGGAAAACGTTACTTCCTGAAGGCATTTTTCAAATGTCTTTTTTTTTTTTAAGGACTAGTTCAGAATCAAATACAATACAGAATTCAATTTCAAAAGCCAAATCTAAAAAGTCTCATGTAATTCAGAAATTATCCAATATTGGCTACTTTTCTAGGAAGAAAATTCTGCAAACCATGTGAGTCATGGCAAGGTGGGCTGTTTGAGTTCTAGACTGGATACAAAAGGTTCTAAATTGAAATCCTGGGCATCTCCAGTTTAAAAATATCAGGTAACAGCGCTGATCACAACCTTCTTCCCAGGATGGGTGATTTCCAGCGCGTGGGCTTCAATTCCCAGAATGTTCAGAGTGTAGCCATTGCTATACTGTCCCAGTTGGGACAGATAATGTTGGGAAAATTAATCCACAGGGCAGCTGAATATAGCAGCTGCATTGCACTCAGAGAGCCCTCTGCATCCTTGTTTCCTCATAAGGCACCAAGCCCTGAGGATGAATGTCTACACTCCAGATCGTTCTGGTAAACTTTAGATACTGCGGTTCAATTAAAACAGAAGAGCTATAAATCAGGAACAGAAACATTTAGAACACAATGGATTGAATCCTGATTTATTCATGCTTAGAATAACTACGAGTCTTAAGATCGACATGATTCAGGAGATCTATTCTAAGTACACTTTAATCCAGACCTAAAACAATAGTTGGGTTCACATGATGAGCTAAGCTGCTACAGGTCTTATTTCCACACAGTGCTTGACATAAACCGTGCTTTACAAAGGGCATTTCCACTAACGGCATTTCCAACCCATAATGCTTCCATTCCCAACCCTTCAACCTTCTCCCATCTTCCCTCCTACTGCCCTTGGAACACTGAGAACAGGTAGAGAACAGAAGAGCCAATCAAAGCTCCCGCCAGGTGACCAGCAGGAGTCAAAGTCATCACTCAGTCACAGCCTTGTCCCCCGAATGCCCCTAGCTTCTGAAATAGCAAAAATACCCTCAATCCCACCCCACACAGGAAGGAGAAAGTAAAGAGTTTTCCCCCTCCTCCATGTTTTCAATATATGCTGGGTAAATTCATCTAGCTGTTGGCAAAAAAGTCTGAGCTGGGTGAAAAGAGCTTAGATGAAGAAATTCAGTTTAGTTCAGTTCAATTCATTTATTGTTTTGACCACAGGTCATAACAAATTAGATGAAGAAGTCCTTCCTTCTGCATATTAAGTCCCACTGAAAGGTGTGAAGGTGGCAAGATGCCATAGTTTTGCAATCAGGTGGTTTCCTCAAAAGCTGCACCCGTGGTTCTAGGTGGCAGGGTAGAGCCTCCAGGTGTAGGTGTGGGGCAGGGAGAGAGAAACAGCTTGAGTCCAGATGCTGGGAGACAGGGCGAGACGAGAGTCCAACACTGCTTACATAAGCAGGGAATTCAAGCCAGTGAATTGGATTAGAAGGATTAAGATCAAGTTGCCTGTGAAAGCTGCCTAGGACATCTAGATCAAGCAGCTGGAAGAGGTTCTGTGAATGGAAAGATGGCACACTCCCAAACCCCACAGGGCTATGGGGTTGCAAATCTTTTTCTTCCATTTTGCATTTGAGACGTGCTGCAGTTGAGCAAGAAGGTTGGTTCAGTGGCCAAGGAGGACAATGCAGGAAAATACTGGCATAGCACAAAGTTGAGGTCCACATATCTTAAAGTTGCCAAATTTGAGAAACATTGGACTAAACCCAAAGCAGATAAGCCACGTTGTGGAATAGCACAATATGTAAACGTAGAAAATGTGCCGTAGCCCTTCTTGGAGGAAGATGCATCTCTCTAACAAGATCTGTCTTACTGAAATTGGGAAAACAATGGTGCGTGTTTTTTTCAGGGCTGATGAGTGAAATATCTGAGCCTCGCTGTGACCACCAAATTCATCTGGGGTGGCTGCGGTTATTTGGTAAACTTGATCCCAGTTTGACACGTGCCGGGCATTGAAACTAACTCCCCAGGCTCTGTTTAGACCTCTTGGCTCAGATGGAGGCACTCCAGTCTCCCAAAAACTATCTCTACGTCTGACCCCAGCAGGCCTCCAGTCTTCACCACTCAAGGACAGAGCTCATTTCAACAACGCGTTCGTCCCTTGGGGTTGAGTAAATTCAGCTGAGAAGAGTCAGGGATAACTGTGCTTTACATACCCACCCCCACCCCACCCCCCTTTTTTTGCCGGAACCACTTGAGTCCAGCACGTTGCCGGCTGCTATTTTGAGAAATAGGTTCATCCTGTCCGATGGGGATGGGGAGACGGGGGCACGTTTATCAGGGCAACGTGGAGCAAAAGGCGATTTCATGCTCGGTTCCAAATTCTGCTCGGCTAATCTAACCCGGGGAGGGGGCTCCCGGCTCTCAGCTCCCCTCCCCCCAATTCCTATTTAGGAACCTACCAATTTCAAGGCTCAGCTTCTCGGCTGTCTCAAATTGCTTTGGGCTGAAACGGAAGACGCGGCATCAGATGGGAATTCTCCTCCCCGCTTTTCTTTTCTTTTCTTTATTTCTTCCCCTTTTTCATAACTAAAAGTGATTTCAAAAGGCTTTTAAAAAAGCCTTTCAGTTCAAAAATCTGACCTACGTTGAAGACAGCGTAATTTAACCACAATGAAAGAAAGTTCCTTCATTCCTCAATACCACACTTTTAACCCTTCCCATGCTCTACGCTACATTTTAATCAAAACAAGCATTATTTTTATACCGCCTAGGAAAACTCGTACACTCAAGCCCTGTATTTATCTTTGATTTTTGCCAAAGCATAGCCGTTTTCACACACAAGGCATAAATCAAGATGTACAAAGTTTCTAAACCCTCAATCGCCTAAATTAATCCTTGCTGTACAGGCTTCAGTGGGGAGGATGGGGTCAAAAAAGTCAAGATGGTGGCCACGACAGGTGACCCAAGTCATGCCCCCTTTTTATATGCAGGGCAATGTCATCCCACCTTCTTGACTTTTTTGACCCCCTCCCAACAGAAGCTCCTGCTTCCCTGACAAGGGTCTCCAAATATCTTGGACTATTATAATTCCATAATTCACAGCCAACTGCGCCAGTAGGGAACGATAACGGTTCTAGTCCAATACACGGGAAGACCCTGACCCGGGAAGCCTAGGCTACAATGTGGGAATCTTGACTACTTGCTTACCTTTCTGTCTAAGGCTTCTCCCAACACTCTTCTCCATTATTCTAAAGTTTCCTCTCACTTTGGAACAGCACAGGATAATGGAGGAAAAGGGTTGGCGTTGGTCTTATTGCCTCTTATGGACTGGGTTCACATACCCACTTAACCCTAAACCCAGGTTAACCTTTTGTTCTAAATGCCCTTCCACTGGTCAGTCCAAGGAGCACCATTTCAGATGTCATCCCTTAGAACAGTGTTGTCCAAACTTGGCCACTTTAAGATGAGTGGACTTCAACTCCCCCAATTCCCCCCGCCCTCGCGGGTGTCGTGGGGGGTGTTGGGGGGGGGGTTAGCGCCTCTTTAAAGAGAACGTGCTTTCTGATACTCCTCTCTA